GAGGTTCCTTTATGGAACTGACAAGCTATTTGCACCCAGCTGGAGGTTCCTTTATGGAACTGACAAGTTATCCGTTCCCAGTCCGGAGGTTCCTTTATGGAATTGATAAGTTATCTGTACCCGGTTGGAGGTTCTTTTATAAAGCTGACAAGTTATCCGTTCCCTGTCTGGAGGTTCCTTTAAGGAACTAACAAGTTATTTGTACCTGGCCGGAGGTTCCTTTATAGAACTGACAAGTATGACCATTGATGCTTTGTATGTGATTTGTAGCACTAACGGATGTACTATGTAAGATTAAGTATGAACTCTGATTTTTTTTATATGCACTGAACAAGAATACGAATATGAACCTGTCTTTGATATGAACTCTGGTTTCTGAGTTGGTTTTAGGACATCATTCATTTAACCCTTTACTTTGTTATTATTCACTAGGCTCCCCCTCACTATTTATTTATTATGTATGTAGGTGAGCAGGCTCGTGACTAGGCTTTAGATGATGCCTGAAGAGTTTTATGTTTGTCAGCCACCTTTTGCGCCTCCCGAGGAGGTTCTGAATTAAGTCAAGTCTCGTGGCCATGTTTTTGTGAATGCTTAAGACTTTGTTTCTTTCGGCTTATAGACAAACATTTCTATTTATATGTACATGGATGATGTGAAACTACTGTACCTTTATGACGTCATATGTATGCATACAAAATTTAAGATTATCTGTCTCATGTTTGTCTGCACAGCTCAATGGACTATGTATGTTTTATATATTTGCTTCCTCAGCCCCTTATTATGTGACATTCTGTTAAGAGGCCTTCAGTAATCCAAAGATTACTGGCCGGTTACGACGCTAAACCTATAGGGGTGGGTTTGGATCGTGACACTCCAAAAAAATTAAAAACTCCTCAGTATACTTTTCCTAAATGTGACAATGTGGCGAATATGATGTGACACTTTAAAAAAAATAAAAACTCTTTAGTGTACTTTTCTTAAACGTGACAACGCGATGGGTATGACGTCACACTCCAAAAAAAATTAAAAACTCCTTAGTGTGTTTTTTTCAAAACGTGACATGTGACACTTCAACGTGGTGGGTATGATGTGATACTCTAAAAAATTAAAAACTCTTTAGTGTACTTTTCTCAAATATGACACTCTAATGTGACGGGTATGATGAAACACTGAAAAATATTTTAGTGTACTTTTTCCAAATGTGACACTCTAATGTGGCGGACAAATAAGTCATTACACATCCAAAAGAACTAAATGGATCACACAAAAAAATATGAGACTATTTGGACTACAAGTCTAAAATATAGGATTTATTGGTCAATCTCTCTAAAAAATTTGTATGATTAGCATTTTCTTTATGCATTAATGAAAAAATTAGTGTTAGTTTCATTAAACAAATACACTAATAACACATAATATGACAAATAAAATTTGGTTCTTAAATATAATTCTGATGTCCCAATTTTAATTAGAGTCCACGTTAGTGGACGGTGGGATTAATCTCTTGATTTAGTTGGTCCATTGGACCGGATGCTAAGTTATTTCCCAAAAAAAATAAATAAATAAAAATAATAATAATAAAAATAAAAATAAAATTGTAATGATACATGAAGACAAATTACAGTTCATAAATATAATTTTTACTGCATTATTATTTGGATTATTTGTTTGTGATTGTCTTTCCATTTATGATGAAAACACCTTGGCACCTTGCACAAATATGAAAAAAGGAAACGCTGTTGTTTTCTTGCGCAGCAATGCACAACAGCATCCTTGCTATTTATATATTTATTTATTTATTTTCCTGTGATCGGGAAAATCAATTCAAGTCATGAAAAACTACCAATAGGTCTTATTTTGCTTTAAATATTATCATCAAGTCATATCAAGGTTTAATGTTCTCACCCAAGAAAAAAAAAGTTTTAATGTGAACAATTGACTCCTATGTTTTATAAATTACTTTTAAAAGGTTCAATTTTGTGGGTAATAGTAAATTTTATTCTAATTTTATCATTCTCATTAAAATATGAATAAAAAAATTTCAAAATATTTTAATTTATGTAAATATTATAATTAAAAATAATTTTTAATTGTTGATATTAAAAAAATAAAATAAAAGGAAAAACATATATGTAAGATTCATTAATTATCTCATGTACTGAGAAATATATGAAGTCACCACCACAATATTATTTTTCATGATTTTATTATAAAAAGAAGTTGGTAGTTTGAACAAACGATAAATTTTATGCCATAGTTCTTTTGATCAGATAGTTAAAATTGTTTATGAAATTTTTGTGCTTATTAACTGAGAAGAATAAAATTGGAATAAAATATACAATTATGAAGAATTGTACCATTTGGGAACAATTAATAATTCACATTAAAACTTGATAGAACTTGTGGGTGCTGATTTCCGACCACACCACCAAATAGAAACTCAGCAGAAGAGCATAGGCAGAATAGACCACGCCTGAACAACCTGTCACAGAAAGATAAGACTCTGGCGGTGGTTCGTCCACCCGAGGGCACTCCGATGATCAAGTCAGTACTTAGTTATCTCTCAAAGATAGAAAATAGTGCTTAACTCACTAGCCAGAATACAAAAAATGTCCCTTAGACCCATGAGGGTGCCTTACTTTTATAGCCAGCACTAACCTGATCCCTGTAGAAGCCTAGCTTCAATGGACTCTGGCTCAATACTCATCTCGGACTCCTAGCCAGATAAAGATAAACTCCCTGAGAGTTTTATCTTTATCCAGACTGAGGTCCTTTCCCATTCTAGGACTCTTGTCCCCTATCCGCTCATCTCGGATTCCGGTATCTCCGCAAATAATCTCGGTTTAGCTAAGATCACCTCGGCAACATGACCAAGACACATGGCACCTCGGCTAACACTCTGGTGCCACCTTGGCCACGTGCTGTAATTCACAAAATATGTCCCACAACTGCCCCCTAGGTTCTATTACCTCGGCATCCTGAGGTGATGGAAACTACATCGTTTGTCCATATAGCACGTCGGCTAAGACTTAGTCCATCCTTCATGACCGAGATCATAACACGTTGGCTTGACATGACCAAGACTCTGCAGTCTACTTCATCAATGATCAATAATCAAGAACCAAGTTCGTCGAGTTCCTTAACCGAGATCGCTCCTATAGCCGAGGTTTTTGCTTCATCAAATCAAAAACTTCAAGAGTTTTGTCTACGCATGAGCTATCACGCATGGTTTTCTCAACCGTTTCCGCCACGCGTCCTTCTCTCATTGAATCGTACCTGACATGTGCCATCAGGTCGCGTCATTTCTGCACACGCCGCCTGATAGACATGTTGTCCAAGGCATATCATTTATGGTTTGCTGTATTTTCACATTTTAACAAAACTTCTCCCTCTCTCTCCGTCTCTTCACTTTTGTAAAAATAATTTCTCTCTCTACTCAGAGCCTTTCTCTTTAAAAATTTCTCAAACCGCCATTTTCGTGCTTCGAAGCTTCTGCAACTGCCTCATTCATCTCCTCCAGCGAGCATTTCGTCATCTGGTTCTGATTATTCATGCCGTCTGACTCCAGCACTTTTTACTCTGGCGTCGTTTTCTTCGGCTCCAATCGATAAGTCTACAAATTTCTTTTCGTACCCCTGTTCATTTTTTCGAATAACTTGTACTGTTCTTAGCCATGTGGCTTGTAATTGTCTCTGTGTAACTGCCTCATATGTTGCCATTGAATCTATTTTCTGTTTTTGAATCTTTATTTGGGCTTTGAATTTCATCATATGTGTGTCGAGCATGTTTGTTTACGATTTTGTGTTGTCCAATCTGTCTCTGGGTCTACTCATGAACATACAAACTGTTCATACACTTGATGTTTTAGTAATTTGCCACTATTCTTGGCTTTTGCACATTTGCACACACTTTATTCAGTGTTCTTGAATTTCTGCTTGTTTTCTTGAGTCTGAATCATGTCCTTTTCTGTTTTTCTTGCTTATTTCTAGATCTCTCCCCTGATTTCCTATTTCCGTATAGATGTAGGTTTGGGATTTGATAGAAACAACATTCCCTAGGGAGATTGAAACAAATTCCCCCTAGATCTTGAAAAACCCTTGCCCTAATTCTTGTTTAGGGTTTAACCCTGCCACAACTCCACCAACAACTTCATCTCCAAGGCCAGATCAGGTCTCCACTTCTGACCCAGCTGATCAACCATCTACCTCAGCCCTTCAACTAATTCCTCTATCCCAGCGCCAACGCCGACGTCGAGTTCCAATTTTTGCCCTTGCCGACAGAACCCACAGCTGCAAACGCCGACTTTCTGAGTCATCGGCCTACGACCCAGCAAACCCACCTACTGCATTTCCAGCTATCTACTTTGGCACCAAAGTAACTGTAGCCACCACTACTGAAAAGATGGGCCACAAACTAGTAGTTATTGAAGACCTTCTCGCTAATATCCCCGGGGTTGTGACGGTGCAATCCTCGTCCTCCCCATACCAACCAATTCCAAAGTTGAAAAGGGTGAAGAAGGCCAAGGCCAAGGCCATAGTAACTCAAATCAATTTTGAGGATACTGTGCCAATTTCAAAACTAGCTGAGGCCGAAAAGAGCACCCCTTCTGCCGAAAAAAGGCTAGCTGAGGCCCCATCATCAGACGCCCCACCGGCCAAAAAGCCAAGATTCAACTACCCCGAAGGTAGCAGCTATCCCCGCACCATGACCTGGGCGCCTGAGGTTATGATGGATGACAGACCCTTAACAGCCGGTGACAGTGCAGTGAATCTTGAATTCAGCGCAGCCTTGTCAACGGCTGTTCTTTTACTTGAAGACATGAACTGCATGGCTGAGTAGCATGAATATGAGAACTTCGTTATTATGATGCATCACTCGGTCTTGGTAATCCTCTTTTACTTACTCTTTTACATTTTTTCTATACTTAGTTAAATCTCACTCATCTGTTTTACTTCTTGCAAGCTATTCAGCATGCCCATTCATATGTTGTCAAGACCGAGATGACAAGGAAGGAGTTGGCAAGAAAGACCAAGAAAGCTGTCAAACTCCTATCCTCACTCAATAATGCCGAGGCCAACAATTGAGTTCAATTGGACTAGGTTAAGGCCGCCAAAGCTGCTCAGAATTTGGTAGAGGAAAAAGCCAAATTGGCCGAAGATGAAGCTGAGGTCGCCAGAGTCGATCTTGCGGCCGCCAAGGCCAAGGCAACTGACCTAGAGGCTAAGCTTCAGGAGGCCCTTGACTCAAAGGAAGCCGAAGTCAAGGCGGCCGATGAAAAAGCTTTTAAAGAGGGGCAAGCCGCCGTCCGCGACCAATACAAATAGCAAGTCAACCTGGCTTGCAACCGAGGTTACTACCTTGGTTGGACTGCGGCTCTCAACAAGTTATCTGTTCCCATGGACTCCAACCTCCGAGACATCAATCAGCTTTAAGTGCCTTTCCCTCTAGAGCCCAAGGACTCTGGCGATGAACCTGACGAAGATGATACCGAGGATGGTGAAGTTGATGAAGTAGAGGAGGAGGCTGCCATTGATGCCAAGTCTTCCACCCTCAATGAGCAAGTAGACTTGACTCAAGATGAGGAGGATGACTTGGTTTCCAAGGGCGTCTCACCCAAACCAACCACCTCTGAGGCCGAGGTCCAGTGCGCCGAAAGGAGTCTGGATCAGTCTTTGCTAGAAATAGACGCCGAGATAGCAGCCGAAAAGAATGCAACACTGCCCGCCGAGGTCCAGAAATCACAGACCAATCCTAGTATTTAGGATATGTCATATTTATTTTGTACTTCTATTTTGTTTGAACAATGTTTAGCTTGAAACTTGGCCGATATGCCCTTTTTGTAATTTGAACAAGTTGTCTTTTGCCAGGCCGAAGTGCCTTTTCTTGAATGCAAGTCTCCCATTTTCTTCTAAGTGTTAAATGTTTGTTGTATGTTTTATTGCTTTCATACTTAGAATATTTTTATATTTCTTCAAAGTATACCCTGACTGTTTGCCTTGGCCAACCATTGGCACACCTTGGCTAACACTCAAAAATATCAAAAATATTTTTGCAAGTGTTATTTAGTATTTCTCTTTACTTTCATATGCTATCCTTTTAGACTTTACCCTTTCAAAGCTTGGCAACCTGGTTGTCTATCTCGGCCAATATGTATCCCGGATAAGTTTTCCTCGGCTAACTTCAACTTGTAAATTTTTGAGAAATTTCAACAAGTGTTAAGTCCATTCAATCTTGTAAAGTTTTCCAAAAATTTCAACAAGTCTATTTTTACAAGTGTTATCAATTATTGCTCTTTTACTTTCACATGTTATCTTCTATCAAGACTTCTTCCTTCTACTCTTTCCAAGCCTGGAGACCTGGTTGGCCATCTCGGCAATTGCATATCTCAGATACCTTTTCCAATATAACCTCGGCTAACTTTAACTTGTAAATTTTTCTGAAATTTCAAAAAGTGTTTAAGCCCATAAAATTTCAACAAGTCCCAAACACTTCAAATTTTTAAGCTTATTTATCATTCTCTAGCTCTCTGCCCCATAATGTGAACCTAAGTTTCACTTATGTTCACATTAAGCACGTATAGTCTTTCGCCGAAGTCAGATTCAAACAAAGACTAGCCGAGGTTCTCAACGTTGGTGTCTCTGTTAATCTAACTGAAATCTACTTAGTTTTATTTGAAGTTCAATTTTGCCGACATGGCAAGTCTAGTTTCAATTTAATTTAGTTCAACTCTATTATATGCAAATATAATTCAACTCTACCATATAATAAGTCTAAGTTTCAACCAGAACATCGCCCAACTTAGTTCAACTCTATTATGTGCAAGTATAATTAAACTCTGCCATATAATAAGTCTAAATTATTCGTCATGTTTCAATTAGAAACAACACTCAACTTATTTTAACTCTATTATATGCAAGTATAATTCAACTCTGCCATATAATAAGTCTAAGTTATTCATCATGTTTGAATCAGAAACATTGCCAAAGGACTGGTTAGTCCTATTACACAAATTTCAAAATCAAGCTAAAATTTTATTATTACTTCGGCTAATGACATAAATTTCGAAAAAATAAAAATCTAATGATAAAAAAACTTCAAGTTGCAAGTGTTCCAAGGTCTTGGCAACTCTTTTCTCTCACTATCTTCAAGCCAATATGCACCATTGCCGGCGACCGTGATAATTCTATATGGCCCCTCCTAATTTGGGCCCATCTTGCCCTCCCTAGAATTCTTCTTGTTGCCGACCACTTTCCTTAGCGCCAGGTCCCCAACTTTGAACTCTCTTAGGTTGACCTTCTTGTTATAAGCCCTAGCAAGTTGTTGCTAGTATGCCCCCAGCCGAATTGCTGCTCTCTCATTTTTCTCCTCAAGTAGGTCTAGATCTCGAGCCAAGAATGCCTCGTTAGTTCCATTTTCTACTCCTTGGGTTCTGATCCCTGGGATGCCGACTTCCAGTGGGATGACTGCTTCTGTGCCGTAAGCCATGGAAAATGAGGATTTTCCAGTTGATCTTCTCGGCATAGTCCATTATGCCCAAAATACATTGAGCAATTCTTCCACCTATTTCCCTTTTGCTGCCTCCAGTCTCCTTTTGATCCCATCCAAGAGAGTCTTATTGGATGCTTCCGCCTGGCCATTGCTCTGAGGGAAGCTTGGAGTAGAGTAGTAGTTCTTGATTTTGTACTTTGCACAAAAGCTCTTGATTAGCTTTCTGTCAAACTGCGTACCATTGTCTGCTATTATTGCCCTTGGGATCCCATACCTGGTGATGATGTTCTTCCATATGAAGTTCTTCACATCAATATCCCGAATCTTCGCAAGGGGTTTAGCTTCAACCCACTTTGTGAAGTAATTAGTTGCTACCAGCAGAAACTTCCTTTGCCTAGTGGCTTGGGCCAGCTGTCCTACAAGATCCATGCCCCACTGGGCAAATGGCCAAAGGCTGGATACTGGGTTTAAATCTGCTACCGGTTGATGTATCAAAGGTGCAAACCTTTGACACCTCTCGCACTTTCTGACGTAGGCTTCAGCATCCTCCCGCATGTAGCGCCACCAGTACCCTTGAGTAATGGCCCTATGAGAAAGTGATTTGCCCCCAGCATGGCTTCCATATACCCCTTCGTGTATTTCGTACAAGAAGTCTTTAACCTGGGAGGAATGCACACACCTCAAAAGGGGACCAGTAAAAGACCTTCTATAGAGATGTCCTTCTGTTCTTAGGCTAAATCTAGCCGACTTCAGTCTGTTCTTGTGTGCTTCTTTGCGATCATCAGGCAGTTTCCCATCTCTATGGAACATTACTATTGCATCCATCCAACTTGGACCCATTTCCACATACATTGCTTCATATTCTGTGATCAATGGTTCCACACTTGGGCCTAACAAATTATCAACCATTATTGTCCTTGGCTCCCCTAATTTTATTGCATTAGCCAGGTTAGCCAAGGCATCGACATGACTGTTGTCATCTCGGCAAACTTGTTGTAGTCAGCAATCTTGAAATAAGGCTAACAGTCTGACAACCTCTTTTACATAGGCTATCATTTTTTCATCTCGAGCTGCGTACTCGCATGTTACCTGGTTTACAATAAGTTAGGAGTCACAGAAGACTACCACCTCATTGGCTTCCATTGCTACTACCAACTTCAATCCAGCGATCAGTGCTTCATATTCTGCTTTATTGTTTGAGGCCTTAAACCCCAAACTAATAGATTATTCTAACATCCGCCCATCTAGCGATATTAGCACTACTCTTGCCCCTGTTCCTTGACAATTTGAACTTCCATCAATAAACAGGCAAAAGGAGTCACCGATGTAAATGTCGCAGGGCTTGAGTTTCTTTGCTTTCTTCTGCTCTTCTATAAGGTTTTTCATTCTCAGCTGGGTCTCTTCTTGTTCCCCTGGACATCCTAAGTCGCGGCTCAACGGAGCCCGACGTGGGATGGCATAAGGTGTGAACTCGGCCATGAAGTCGACCAGAACCTGGCCTTTGATTGCTGTTCTGGGTCTAAACTCTAAATCATATTGGCCCACTACCACTACCTATCTGGCTACCCTGCCTTTCAGATCTCCTTGTTGTAGTAAGGATTTCAAGGGGTGGTTAGTCAACACCACAATCTTATGGGCCTGCAAATAATGGTTTAACTTCTTGGAGGCCATCATTAAGGCCAATGTCAATTTCTCCAGGGGTAAGTACCTGGTCTCTGCACCTGCTAGGGTTTTACTCACATAGTATACTGCCATTTGTTCTCCCTTCTCTTCTCTGATTACCACTACACTCACTACATGCTCTGAAACTGCTAAGTATAAGAATAGCTCCTCTCCAAGTACTGGAATTGACAGAACTGGGGCTGTTGTCAGGTATCTTCTCAAGTCGGCCAAGGCAACTTCACATTCCTCTGTCCACAAGAAATATGCGGCCTTTTTCAATAAACTGAAAAATGGTTTACACTTTTCTAAACTTTTGCATATAAATCTGTTTAGGGTTGCGGCCCTTCCAGTTAGTATCTACACTTGTTATGCCGACATTAGGCTTTTCAAATCCAAGATGGCTTGAATTTGATCTGGGCTTGCCTCAATACCCCTTCTGATAACCAAGTACCTGAAGAACTTACCAGATCCAACTCCAAATGCACATTTCGAGGCATTGAGTCGGAGCCGATATGTTCTAGGGATATTGAAAACTACCTTCAAGTCAGCCAGATGATCCTTAGGTTCTTTGGTCTTCATGACCATGTCATCAATGTATACTTGTCAATCAGATGTCTGAACATCTTGATCACTAACCTCTAGTACGTTACTCATGCATTTTTCAACCTGAAAGGCATCACTCTGTAGCAATATAGCCCTTTTGGGGTGATAAATGCAATCTTCTCGTCACCAGGGGGTACATTGCTATCTGATGGTACCCCCTGTAAGCGTCTAGGAAGCTCATCCTTCCATACCCTGAAGTGGCATCCACTAATTGATCAATCTTGAAGAGTTGGAAACTATCTTTGGGACAAGCCTTATTCAGGCTAGTGAAGTCCACGCAGACCCTCCACTTTCCATTCTTCTTTTTTACAACCACAGTGTTGGACAGCCAAGTATGGTAGTTTACTTCACCAATGGCTCTAGCCTCCAACAATTTATTCACTTCTTCTTCGACCGCCTCCACATGGACCAACATCGGCCTCCTTGCTCGCTAAATGACAGGTTTGACTAACCTGTCTACATTTAGTCTGTGGTAAGTGACATCGGGGTCAATGCTAGGCATCTTGTATGGCGTTCAAGCAAACACCTCTATGTTTGCTCGCAAGAATAACTCTAACGCTTTCTCCTCCTCCTCGACCAAACCTGAACTGAGAAGGAAGAAGTGATCTTCATCCCCTTGTTGGACGAGGATCCTCTTTAAGGTTTCTTCGCTTTTGTTGGCCGGCTCTTTGCCGACGTCATCCAGGACCTCCGTATCCTCGTCCTCAATTTCGACTATCTCTACCTCTCGCACGTTGTAGGTGGATTTCATTGCTACTATGGAGTAATTCTTTGCCTGCACCTGATCCCCTCTGACCTCCTCAATTTCATGCTTTATTGGGAACCGTAACAACTGGTGTAG